ATCACAATCCATACACTCATCAATTGTGTAAAGCGCATTTGTACATTCATTACCCTCATCATTCTCAAAACATTTTCTCTCCATTTAAATCTCCGGCATTAGGTCCTTATTTTTCCCCTCCCTCCCCGCTCCCCCCTCCCTCATGAGCCCTTGATAGTTTATAAATTGTTATTTTGTCATATCTTGATGCTTGTGCTTTCTAACCTCAGTGACATGCACAGTTATGAAACATCTTCCCAAGGTGATTCGGAGGCCAGAAGAGAGGCACCTTCTTACTCAGCAAGGTAGAATTGACAGGATTGAACACTGACGGGAGACAAGAGGAGAGTGGGAAAGGGAGTGGAGATGAACAACAAGGAGGAGGAAGCGATGGCTTTTGGGGTCAATAAAATAATCTGCCTTTTTCTTATGAGCTCAGAACTGATGAGGTTTAGATGCAGGAGCTGGACTGAAGGAGAGCCAAGCCGGTGTGTTTGTTTGTTAAACTGTGGCTTCTGATGTGCTGCCAGTGGGCTGGCTAGTCATGCCCCATCCCAGAGTTGGGTGTCCCACCTGGTCCGTGGGCGCAGCTGGACAATGGCAGGTGTGAACCTCCAGAAAAGACCCTTCCTATAGTTTCTCTTCAGACTTTGGACAGACAGGCTGGCACCAAAAAAGGAACTCATAAGGCACCGAGCCACATTGTACCCGTTTCTTCTGCCAACTCCCAGCCAGAAGTCAAATCCTCCACTGAAGGGGCTTCTCTGATGGGATAGTGAACACCAGGGAATCGGTTTCCCTGCAACACTTCAGAGAATGTCTGTCCTTGAGATGGGGAACGGAAAAAGCATCCAATCCCCCAAATTAGTAGAGAACCAAACAAAACACAAATGTTGACACAGAGAATCATTACAGTTATACATTTATGAGCTCTGAGATTAGGGAGCCTAGCAATTATGTGGTAGAAAGATGAGTCCACAACCTACTTTCAAGAAAATCCGAGAACTGTTTTGTGGGCACATAACTTCACTCACTCACTATTTATCATTGCTTCCCGTACATAAGGGGGTGTGCTAGAATTGAGACAGAGTGGAACCAGACACAGGTTATGCATTGAAGCACCAGGCTAGCAGTAAACGCACCCGTGGAAGTAATTGCGATGCAGTTGGGTAAGCCCTGGTAGAGATCTCTACAGAATAACAGCAGAGTGGATTGGCAGATAGACTTCTGAAAAGGAAAATTGGAGTCCTCTTGGAAGGAGAATGGGAATTCGTAGACTATCATGTGAGGGCGTCTTGGTTTCAGGCAGAGGAAAGGGAAATTGGTCCTGGTGTTGAAACTTGTTCTCATCCAGGGCGCTTCAGCAACCCTTGCTTTCTGCTAGCATAGAGTCAATTCTACCTCAAAGTGACCCTGTAGGTCAGGATAGAGCCGCCCCTATGGGTTTCTGAGACCATACCTCTTTACCCATACCTCTTTACGGGAGTGGAAAGCTCTCTCTTTCTCCAGCAGAGTGCCTGGTGGTTTCAAACTGCTGACCTTTTGTTTGGCAACCCAATGTATAACTACCACACCACCAAGGTTCCTGTTGCCAGCCACAATCATAAATGCCCTCTTGAAGGACTGCATTGGGGTTTCCTCTCAGAACTGAGCTTTCTGAACAATGAATAAGTAATAGAAACCTGCCTTTCTTTTCCTTCCATTTCCTGTCTTCTAACTTATCAAAATACAAAATTAATTTTAAAGTATTGTTTTAAAGTTGTAATCCTTTTGCATCATCAATTTAAGGTTGTTATCATTTTAAAGTATTGTGATAATTACTGATTGAAATATCATGTTGCCTCTCTTTACTTTCAAAATGAATGAATTGAATATGTAATCATGAACTAATTAAGCAGTTTGCTGATTATAATTGGTCTTCAATTGTGCCCACTTCGACTGGACTGGCCTTCCAGATATTAAATGACTCTCAGTAGTAGAAAAGACTTCCCACCTAGATGTATCTGGCAGATTACACTTTTGACATTGAGTTTGACCTTTCTCTTGTATGTGCAACAAAGTGAAGTGTACACAGCAGGCTATGT